AAAAAAAAACGTCCACACACACAAAAAAACACAAAAGCGCACATTGATGCCACACCACCACAGGAACCACCCGCCCCTCTCTGTCTCCTCTGACCGGGCCAATTGCGTTACGCAGCGGCCCCACGCCCCCGCCACATCACGAGCGCCTCCTCCCCAGGACGCAGCCACCGAGCAGCCGATAAATAGAGCCCCGGGTCCCGTGTTCGGCCTTCTCATTCACCGGGAGGCTGCCGAAGCGATTTCTGTTGTTGCCGTTCGATCATAACTCTCAGGTAAGAAAATGTTATTCTCTTGCACTTTTAAAAGTTTCAGATTGACGTGGCCTCTCCACACTCCTGCAGGAGTGACGTGCATCTCTCCACACTCCTGCAGGAGTGACGTGCATCTCTCCAGTTTCCTCATGTTTGCGCAGCAGAGGAGCCGCACGGTGTAAATATTGATCCAAGCTGCACAAGTTTACAGAACTGGACGAACAGCTCTTTAAGATCGTGTGATTGAGTTACACTGACCGATCGGGCTGATCGATTATTTCTTTTGCAGCACGGGTTGGTGGTGGTATCACAGGAGTGTTCAGATCATTTACTTCAGTTAAAGTACTATTTCCACACGTTTAAAACGTTCCTTTACAAAGTAGAAGTCCTGCATTCAAAGCCTTACAAAGAAAAAAAACATTTTCAGCAAAATGTACTTAAAGTATGTAAAAGTAAAATTATTAAGTGCAGTAAAATGTTATATGTAATATTCCTGCTGCATTTATTTGTATGTGGCATTTTTCTGATGTAGATGTTTGAGCTAATTTGAAGTACTTTATATCCCTGGTAGTTCAACCTACAGCAATGCACCATCTCATATATAAATATTTCTACTTTTATTGCATATAATATTTCTGTTGCTGCGTAAATTGTGAATTTCCTCTAAATAGTAAACTTTTGCTCAGAAAACATTCTGTGTTCAGCTTTGTGAGGACGGATTTTCCAGCTGATCCAAGTGGCTTTTGAAAGCATTGATTTATGATTTTCTTTTTTGCGTAAAAACAGTTAATCGCAAACGTTCAATAGTAACACATCTGGAGATACATGGTTTAGACTGACATCTTCCAAGTAGCTAAAGCTGTTAGACCAATGTAGTGGAGTAAAAGGTATAATACTTTATTTAAATGCATGCTTGAGTACAGAACTTCAAGAACTGTACTCAGTTACTGTTCACCTCTGGTTGTACGTCTATTGTCACAGCGTGTTCTCCACTGACTCTTGCAGCAGCACGACTTTGCTTTGTGCAAATACACCGAGTGAAACAAACATCCGCTTGTGTCAACCTCCTCCACACAATCACTTATTGAATAGTGCTGCTCATAATCTTCAGTTTTAAACCTGCTGTGGCCATATTACTGCTTTCATCTGCAGAAAACATTGTGGGGGGGGCATGTAGTCAACAACTTGAAGTGAACTGTGAACTTCTTTTGCACATCAAGCTGCAGAACTTATCTGTATAAAGGCCAAAGTTCAACCACGCAGGCCAAATATTTACAGAGGTGACGCAAGAGAGGTGTGATGTCACAGGCCTTTGTGTTTGATAGTGGAAGAAAAAGATCAGATCTTCCTCATACTCACTTGCAGCTCTCAGGAGTTTCTGCACCTGTCAGTGAAGTAACTTGTCTGTCTTTTCCAGGATGACTCATCAGTTCCCATCCCTCTCTCCGGAGCAGAAGAAGGAGCTCTCTGACATTGCTCAGAGGATCGTGGCTCCAGGAAAGGGAATCCTGGCAGCAGATGAATCGACGGGTGAGCCTCAAGTGATTTTATTTTTCATTGTTTTTTCTTAGAGGTGACAGCAGAGCTAACATTTGAAAAAACCTTTTCGTCCTCTTCTCCCAAGGAACCATGGGAAAGCGCCTCGAGAAAATCAAAGTGGAGAACAACGAGGAGAACCGCCGCTACTTCCGCGACCTCCTCTTCTCCACCGACCCATCCCTCTCCAACTGCATAGGTGGGGTCATCTTCTTCCACGAGACGCTCTACCAGAAGGCGGACAGCGGCAAGCTCTTCCCCCAAGTCATCAAGGACAAGGGCATCGTTGTCGGCATCAAGGTCACAATGCAGCTGATGGCACATATTTCTGTGTTTTTCAATAAGTGGAGCTCTAGAGACTAACGAATGTCTTTTGATTGTATTTCTTCAGGTTGACAAAGGCACAGCTGGTCTGAATGGAACAGATGGAGAGACCAACACACAAGGTAACATAGACGAGAGATGCAAAACCTGGAGTGAAAACCTTTTCTTTCTTTATCAAGATTTCAATTCTTTATCAAATTTCTGCAAATGATGCACCTATTAGCACTGGGATTAAAAGCTCTTTAGTGAAAATGATTGCAATAGAATATTCAATCATGAACAACTTGGATTAACCTGTACTGCTTTTTAAAGTGATGTGAAAAACCAGACGCTATAGACACCTATGTGAACCCACCAACATTCAGTGATGGAGTATTTCTTCCAGGTCTTGACGGCCTCTCGGAGCGCTGCGCCCAGTACAAGAAGGACGGTTGCGACTTCGCCAAGTGGAGGTGCGTGCTGAAGATCTCTGATGGCTGCCCATCAGCTCTCGCCATCGCAGAGAACGCCAATGTCCTGGCCAGATATGCCAGCATCTGCCAACAGGTTTGTGTTTTGCATGGAGCAAGAGGAATTCATCTTCAGTGTTATTTGTTTGTGATGCAGTCATTCTAACGTGACTGTATGTACTCTATCAGAATGGCCTGGTGCCCATTGTGGAGCCAGAGATTCTTCCCGACGGAGACCATGACCTGCAGCGCTGCCAGTATGTCTCAGAAAAGGTCGGACCATCATCTCTGCCTAAGTTTTCCAAATTACAAGATCAACAGCATAAAATATATTTAGTTTCCCAGCAGATGATGGTTTAAATCATGTCTCATATTGAATCTGACTCCTCAGGTGCTGGCTGCTGTTTACAAGGCTCTGTCTGATCACCATGTGTACCTGGAGGGCACTCTGCTGAAGCCCAACATGGTCACTGCTGGACATTCCTGCACCATTAAGTACACCCCTCAGCAGGTTGCCATGGCTACAGTGACTGCTCTGAGGCGCACTGTCCCTGCTGCTGTGCCAGGTGAGAGTCCAGCTCTACCTTTTAGTTTATGAACAGGTTCAGAACTGGTGTTAACTTCTTCAATAAGTGATCGGGCTTAAACGCACCTAAGTGAGAACCAGTCGCCCAGCCCACATTTGGAGGTGGCCTGGGGACGCATGACCGTATCCTTTCTGATGTGTCCTGGGCAACATAGGAAGGACCAACTACTCAGCTGACGACCTCTGACCTGCTGCAGTTTCACAGTGAAGCAAAAAACGTATTTTTACTTTTTTCAGTGCCCATGTGTTGATTGTGGCCACAGTCACAATATCAATACTCCACATGATGCTTTTCTTAAATTGGTAAAAACATTTCTTCATAGCTATTCATTCATTCCATCCTGACTCTGCTCACTCTGTATTGTCTTCGTATACGTCTCTACACTTGAACTATAGGCAAAAACCAGTCTGATGGTTAATTCCCGGGTCTGAAATGTGTGGACAACCAGGTTTTCAGTAAAATAAATTCTTGTAACATGTCTTTTGTGTCTTCAGGCATCTGCTTCCTGTCTGGAGGCCAGAGTGAGGAGGAGGCCTCTCTCAACCTAAATGCCATCAACCAGGTGCCCCTACACCGCCCCTGGAAGCTGACCTTCTCTTACGGCCGTGCACTCCAGGCCTCTGCTCTTGCAGCCTGGCAGGGCAAAACTGCCAATAAGGCAGCCGCACAGGAAGCTTTCTGCACCAGGGCCAAGGTAAGTCTCAAAGGGCATGGGTGGCTGTTAATGCTGACCAATTAACCTCAATAAATAATTCTCACTTATCAATTTGTAGTGGTGGACTGTGCACAGAACTGGCTGCTAAATAAACCTTATCTTGCATTACACAACTTAACACTGAGTGGTCAATGATTGTTGTCTGAAAAAAGGTTTTTTTCTCTTCAGGTGCTCTAATGTGGCACCGCTAACTTGGCTGATTATTAACGCGCTGATTTGACTTTGCCCTAACTTCCTTCCTCTGTTGCTCTCTGCAGATCAATGGCCTGGCTGCCAAAGGAGAGTACAAACCCACCGGCTCAGCTGACTCAGCCTCCATGCAATCTCTGCACACGGCCAGCTATGTCTATTAAATACTGTGAACATTAAACCTCCTCATAAAAATGCACATGGACCAAACGCGTCTCCCCTGTTCTACCAACACCAGGGGAAGATTTGTGATGTTGCACTGTTCTTCTGAAATGACTGGAAATAAATTAAGTGACCAAATCATGGTGGTTTGTGTGGTTTTTGGGATTTAGAGCATTTCACAACCTCAATCATAAGGATGGCTGAGGTGAAAGGTTTTAGCACCACCATGTGATTATCTCGGTGACTAAATTCACTGTTGATGCATCCAGTGAACATCCTTACTCCCAACATGCACGGCTGTGCAGTTCTTCCAAATTGACCTCAACTGTGTGCCTAGCTTGCAGCAGGAGCCAAGCAAAGACGAACCAAGTGTGCAGGGTTTCTGCAGGGTCCAAAAAATTCAGTAATCTCAATTTTAGGCTTTTAAAAGTCTTAAACATGTTAAACTATTACAAACTATGTATATTACTTGTGTATTATAATGTTTAGGGGGTAGGACTTGATAGGTATTTATTTTACTGGTTTGCTGTTCCTTAAATTACTTGGATAATATCTATTTCCATTTTAAACAAAAAGTAGAACAGGAACCAGAGGTAGGTCTTAAACTTTCATTCAATGCTACTTCTGTTTTCAAGAGAACCATTTTGGCAACATGCACAGTTTGTGATGTCTGTGTGTTGTAACTCTTTCTCAATGATACTAGCAAGCTGTAATAAAACTAAGGAACTGATAACTGATAGTCCATTATCACACTGGTCAGAATTGATCACAGTACACTCTTCACCTTATCTTCAATTATAGTTTAAGTAATTCTGGAACTCTGATATTTCCTCTGTCTTACTTGACATACAGTAGGTCTTAAATATCATTAATTATGAAAGCTTGACTTCTAACTTTTTGACACCTGTAGAAACCATAAATGTGTTTGCACTGTGCTTGTGGAGTAAAGTCATGTTGGCTGAGTGAAATGGAGAAGGTGAGTCTGAAAAGGAAATAGATCTGATGCCAACATGCTTACACAATAACCGTGGAGAAATAACGAAAGCATTCAGAGACTTCAACCACGTCTAGAGCCTGAATTGCACAAATCTGGTCTTTGAAAAACACAAGCAATGCTTCTGCTTATCAGCTGTTTTTAAATCAAACTATTCAAATATATAAATGCACACACTCACATACCTGCGTGTGTGAGGTCATTATCAATGATTAATCATTTTTAAGTGTTCTTGTGCGTAAAAACTGGAGTCCATCCTCCATTTAGTAAGCTACAGTGCACTGTATGCATCAGTGCTGTCTATGCATAAAGATTTATATGTGAGTAATTCTATTATCATCAATCTGAGCATCATTTTATCTTTTATTCTTTGTTAACAAACATCATACATCACATTGATTGCATCAAAAATAGCTAAGAACAAAAGCTACTTTAAAAGTGACCCCCGCCCAAATCTGTTCTTCACACATTCACAGGCAAAAGATGGCCACGGGTTCCAGCTTCTTATATCACAGTCAGGTCGATGAACATGTTTAACTATAGAAACATATACATCAAATGCTAAGCTAGGAATATGCTAACAATGATCATGAACAATCTGCAACCAGATTCCAATCCAAATTAATTCCAATATACCAAATGCTGTTTTGATTATGATTGTATTCGGGTAAATGGACAGTGGAGGATCACACAGACAATCAAAAGCTGCAGTTTAAATCACAGTCACTTAACATTCTGTAAAAAATATGCAGCTGGTCAGAAATATCCAAAAGTGTCCACAATATATGACTGAAATTCTTAAGGAGTGGATATGTTTAGATTAGATTAAAAACCTTCATGGTTGGACTTCATGTGATTGTGGAGCAAACACAAAAGGTACTAACATCTATTTACTCTAATTTAAATATCTTTCTTCCCTTTAACTTTATCACTATAAGATCATGTGATATAAGATTGTGTGAGAGTGTTAGCTTTCAGGCTTTGATTCAAAGTCTAATGTGCAGTGTGATTACTATAATAACGTTGTGTTTTAAGTGTTTAAACACTAAGTACACTTAAGTCTTCCTGGATATATTAGTGGTTACTGTGTTCCCTTAATAAGTGCATTCAAACATAGATTTACAAAAAGCAAATGTGGTTCAGTTATGCATTTCTTTCTTGCAGACAACTGTACACATACTGTCGAGTTGTAATGTACATAACAATAAAAGCCACTAGGTGGCGTAAGATTCGAGAATTGTGACATGTTTACGTGAACTGCAGGAAAACTACATGAAATATTAGTAGAGTAATGATTGGAAAAGACTGATCTTAGTTCGGTGTTGCGTCGCTCTGTGCTGGTGCCGGGATGCACTGGACAATAACCTGTTGGAGATATTGAAGTGGAGGCCGGTTAGAGAGCAGGGAAACAAGAAGATGATCAAATGATGACTGACACAAAGCTGGTATCGGATATAGTTGTGATAAATGACATCTGGCTTCCTCTGGCTGCTAATGTCTCTGGTTATTTCATAGTTTTATGTGTGAGACTCGTGAAGTTATTGGTTTTGCTTGAGCTGCTCTTGAGCTGGTTTCAGGTCCAAATTAGTTTGTTTTAATGATGAAATATTATACATGATCATATTAGAAATTATATTCATTCTTTTAAATAAGCATTAGTACTTAATTCTGACCTATGTATTTTGGTTTCTGTCATATGTTGTTGATCTGGACGTAAATGTTTTTGCTGCCAATCGAGGCCAAAATACTAAGATTCTAGTTATGATATGAAGGACCTTCTATTACTGTGATACATCTCAAGAGCCTGTAATTTCACACTATCAACCACATCTGGGGATCATATTTACAGCATGTAAAAAAAATATGTTTATGGCACCAAGAAGTAGCAAGAGGGTTCTGGTTTGAATCCTGGTTCCACCTGAGTCTTTATTTATATTCTCCCTGTGTCTGTGTGGGCTTTCTCCAGGTATTCAGGCTTCCTCCCACAGTCCAAAGACATGCAGATTGGGGTTAGGTTAATTGGAGACTGTTAATTGACCATACGTGTAAATGTGAGAGTGAATGGTTGTTTGACTCTGACTTCTGTGCTGGTTCAGAAAAATATCTCCCTCCAAAGGGTTTAATTAAATTCTAATCTCAGTGAGCATCGCATAATTTAAATAAAATGTCAGGAAAAAAAAGAAAAGTTATTACCTGCGTGTGTGTGGATTTTAGTGCTAAACGTGCGACAGAAGACAAGAAGATGAGGATCCCTGCCACACACAGAGAGGACGTGAACAGTAAGCCTTCAATACTATACAGCTGATCCTAAAGTGAAAGAAAGTGAGAGGGGGAATTATTCATACACTGTGAACATGTCAATGTCATCTATTTAGTCGAAACAACCAACCAACCATGCTTTAACTCACAATTCTGTTTTGGGCCCATTCCTGGTTTCTTGCCCTGTATTGAAGGTAGCCAAAATAGGATAAGCAGTAAATCCTGAAACCAACGGAGACTACTGTTCCCAAGAGGGAAACCACGTACATAGCCAAACACACAGTCACCTGGGGAAGATGAGTTCAACAAAATTAAATGGGTCATTGAGAAAAAAAGAAAGACTGATGGGACATTAAATACGACATTATTAGAACATAAAAGCACTGGTACGCCTACCATCTTCTTGGATGGATGTATCTCAGTGTAGATAGACAGTTTTCCACAGACAAGAAACTTGAAAAACACAACCACAACCAACATGAAATATAAGATCGGTATCAAACATTGCATCTCAGTCTTAACAAATAAAGATCACCCAGTTTTCAGGGGATTTTAGGTGCTTCTCTTAACTATGCATTGAAATAGTGATTAAGTGAATGTCATTAGTGAATATTCAACCATTTGAATGCATGTCACTGGTAAACACTTGAGTGATAGGTACCAGAGCTCCCTGCCAAAAGGGGATGTAGATTGCACAAGAGGTTTGCACACTTTCAGAGGCCAGAATAAATCCCATCATGAGCTCTCCGCAGCCAAAGATCAGAATGGCAATCTAGGAAGGAGAAGAGGAAGGAGACGTTGACTGTACCTACAGTAGAGCGACACTTGTGCCGTTGCTCTGTGTAAATCTACTGATGCATAAGACGGAGAGCATGAGTGACTATAACTGTCTATGATCTCATCTCTGTGTGGCCCTGCGATGTTTGATGTCCTACCCCAAGACACCTGGGCTCCCTCTGGATAAATCGATGCAAGGGTTTGCTGGTCATCAGCAGCTTCTGGTCCACCTCCTGGTTTCCATCTCGTCCTGTTGCTGTTGCTCTAGTTGTTGGTCCAGTGCCCTCCATTGCCAGTAAAACTATATAGGCTACGTCTGGCCGTGGGAGGAGAGAGCAAGAGTAAATAACACCAGATGAATACTGAGACAGAAAAAGCTGTGGGGAAGCAGAATGGCTGCAGACAGGCAAAAAGTAGTGTCCAGAGGAATGCAGGGGTTTGAGCAAAAACATGAAGTGACCCACCTTGTTTTAGTTTTTCATGCAGAGGAGGAGTGTGAAAGATAACGGGAAGAGAATCCTGAGGGTGGAAAGAGGAAGTGAGGAAATCTGAGACTTTTTCTTTTTTTTTTTCAATGAGGGGGAGGAGCTGGGCACTTTGGGAGGTTGCAGGCGAGGCTGCACTGCTCTCCAGACACTAACTCACAGTCCAATCCTACAAAGACCTGTGTGAATATCCAGGAACAACAATACATTCTTTCAATGTCAGCAGATATCAAAACTGCACAACCACATTTCAATTCACATCAGGGTTTTTATTTGGATCTGCACCAAAATTTCACAAACTCATAAAATCAATCTCTTAAACATGCTTGATTGTTTTTAATCAAGATCCATGAAATGATCTGAGAAATCAATAAAATAAATGTAAAAAAACTAAAATGTTTTACTGCAGACATACATCTACCAGTATAATACTGATATTATAATTATATCAATAATAGTCCAATTGTCTTGTAAATTTAGTGTTTGCAGAAATGAGTGTGAAAAAAGTGTTAACCTTTACACAAATATAATCTGTGTTTTTTCCAGATTAAAATGACAATATCCCAATTTTACAATTTTACTTGAGATGGTTTTACAATCATGTCCTACTGAAGTTACAAACCTGGTTGAAACCATCATTTGCTGGGGTCTCTGGAGACTCTGTCAGGATGAGCACACCTGGGGAAGAACGGATCATCATGAGTGATGGACATTCTGGACGTGGTTGACGATGGACTTCCATTTCACAACCTTCTCTGGTCCAGACTTTGAGGAAGTGGCTGTCAGGTGAATTAGATTTTGGATGTGGAGCAACCATGTCTGCACCACCAGACACTCATTATTTTTAGCCACTGCTTACAGCTTCTGACAATATAAATGTTTTTAGAACAAAAACCAGAAGATACAAAACTACAAATATTTTAGTTACAGTCTGATATGAAAATAAAACTCAACAAAAACTAGATATAAAAAACAAATCTGCTCCTGTCGTGTCAAGTGTTTGTAAGCCTTATCCTCCTCTGGAGCTGCATTCACATGGATCACGGCGGACATTTGGCTAAAAACATGGATTAAATGGCGCCGTTTCGAATCAGATTTGAATGTTGAGATTTACCGATACTGAGATGACACCACAGGAGCATGGAGGCATTTTTTACATTTGAAGAATCGGTCACCATTTACTTTGACTGCAACGCTGTTTACCCCTGAAACTCCAGAAGTGTTTTGTGGGCTCAAACACTTCACCCACCCCTTCATAGGCATACAAACTAGGTCCTCTTAACCTGAGATTAAAAACTAAAACACCAATCTTCACCCTCAGAAATGATCACAAAAGTACATTTTCATGTTTGTCCTAATTACGTTTATTAGTATATTTGATTAATGTAAAATTGCATTGGATTTTTTGGCTCATAATATCTAAAATCCATCATCATAATCATCATCACTACAAAAAGGTAGTTTTTTTTTATCTCCCTCATTCCAGATATTTAGAGTCAGTTATCATTTCAACAAGTCCTCTACAGTTATACATAGTTACATGATTCTGCATAAATAATCTGTCTTCTTTCTCTCTCATTCAATTTTATGTTTGTGAATGAGTGTAAATCTAGAGGCATTAAAAAACTCCACTTCATTGTTACAGTTATTAAAATACTATTAGTAACAACACTGATACCCAATGGTAAAACATCTTCCTTACATCATAATTAAATATAAAAATATCATCTGTTCCTCAGCATACACAAGTGAAAATATAAACAAGTTGTCCTGTGTTTTCAGGTGTGTCCACATGGTCACACTGTATCCTGTGTGTGTGTGTGTGTGTGTGTGTGTGTGTGAATCAGCATCACGGGACGTTGTCCACCTGCAACACAACAGATCAAATTAGTCATTATTAAATTTTGAAGTGGTCTAAATTCAACAATCAGAAAACTAAAAGTCTTTACTGTGAGGTCTGATGAGTGAGTCAGTAGGTGGTGCTCCAGGAGATATGCTGCTCTTCGCCTCATCTCTCCTTCACTGTTGTACTGAATGGCTTCTAACAGTGAAACCCCACCAAGCCTCACAAACTCGTCCGCCACCTAAAAAGAAAGAGCAACCAGCATCTATGAGATGACAGTGGTAAAAGATGTTACAAATACAGGTGCTGAATAAAAGCTAATCGGCATGATTATGATCTCGCATTAGTTGTTTCAATCAGACATGAACATCTTATGGAGGTTTCCTTTTACATATTCAGAACACAGCAGGAAACAACAGGAAAATGTCAGGAACATTCAGGTGAAGGGAGGCGCCTGGTTAGAGCGTGAAGAAGGCAGGATGTGGTGTATAAATTCTGCTCCAGATATGTTTTTGTTTACAACACGTCGAAGATGGAGGGGGGAACAAGCAACTGACTCAGCTGTAGTGTTTGGCCTTTTGCAATGACACCAGTATTTCAAGTTGGCATCTTCCACGTGTACGGGACATCTTTTTCACGTGTTAGAAACTGGCAACACGCCCACTCAGGCAATGGGAATTTTCCAGAAATGTTCCTGCTGTATTCTTAAATTTTTTTCACTCAGATACTTTTACTAAGGGACCGGCAGGTACATGTCCAGAGCAACTGACTCAGACATTTTCTTTTCTCACTCAACATGTGTAAGCTTTCTTACCTGCTGTCTGCTGAGGACCAGCATGAAGAGGACCTCCAAACTGAGGGTCACCATTTCTTGGTCAGCCATCTTAAGTGTTGCACAGAGCATAGACAGCAATCCGAGCTGGGCCAGCTGGACACAGAACTCCTTATTCTTGTGGGCAATGTTTGCTAGAACCCTGAGGACCTGATAAGACGACAGAGGCCAGTGAGATTAAGTGCAACATTTTGCAAGAGTGTGAGAAAGACAGGGCTCAAATGAAAACAACATGACCATCATCTGCCACTGTTACTGTGGAAAAATACTACAAAAGCAGAGTTTGGCTTTTTCTTGCACTGACCATTGTATTGATGCCTCGAGACAAAGGCAGAAGCTGGATAAGTCCAGGGACCAAGTTGAGAGAGAGCAGAGCAGAGCAGAAACCACTGGAGTGAGCTGGAACAGAGATTGATGGGAAAGGCATTGTAACAAATCATGTTAAAAACAGTCACAATCCTGATAAATACAGGGATCCCCAGGTGGGTAAAGAAAGAAACTCTCCCCGTAAATTCTGAAAAACAGACGTTCTGCACGAAACAGCGACAGAGCAGTCTTACCTGTGAGGTTATTGAGGACCCAGGCGCTCTCCCTGGCCAAGGCTGGCTGGGTGTGCGGGTAGGCCTGAAGAAGTACACACACAGCAGCCGCAAGTCGGACGTCGCCTACTTGAGTGCTCAGGCTGTCCACTGGGCAGAGGGACAGGAGGTTTCCCACGCACCGCAGCAGAGGACAGACAAGCTGAAGACGCATAAAAGACCATTTACAGGTTTTCTTATTTTTAATAAGGTTTTAATAACGTATACCACACACTGCCTTTAAAATGATTAAGATTGATCATTTTGTTTCTAAAGGTAGTTCTGCACTGACACTCTCCTTGTAATTGCATTCAACTGCTTTGTGGTGAAAAACAAACAGCTAAATAACACAGTGTGTAATGTAAGAAACAACCAAGCATTTGACTTTTTAAATAAAAAGCTGTTATCAATAACTAATCTCAAGTATTTCATGTGGACACTTTCTTAAATGCACCAATCAGGAAGGTCATGCCACAACATTAATGCATAAAGACAACAATGTTTCAAGTTTGAAGTTTCTGCAAGCTGATTCTCATACCATGCTGACGTGATAAGATATACTTGTGCTGCGAAAAGTGCTGATACACATTATATGATTCAAGTTTTCAGACAAAACCAAACAAACAACAACAAAACAAGGGTGTTAAAACCAAACAAACCCCCAATGAAATGCTGTATTTGATCCATAAACTTCCTTACCAACTCCATTCCTTCTTCTTTCTTTCCTTCAGCGACAGCATCACCTAGTGACAATAACAAAGAACTGCACTGCAGCAGGGCACCATGAGCCAACAGCTCTCTGTTGTCCTCACTGCTTCAAATAGGATAAGAAGAGAAGAGAGGCAGATCATTGTTACTATGATCAGTTGTCTGTAAATATAAAGAGATTGTTGACACTTGCTGAGAATATCCTACCTGCATGCCAGGTAGTGGAGACACCATGCACACTCAATAGCAGGTGCAAGGCTAAAGTTTGTGTCAGGAGTCAGGACTGATAGCAACTGTGAAGGTAAACTGGAGGCCAAGACCTGCCTGCAGACACAGAGGAAGATCACTGCACAACTGAGGACAGCATCTAATGACAGAAAGTAAATTAAAGCCTGACAAAATAAAGTGATTTTAACAATTTCTAATAGAACATTAGAAACCGAGTGCTTACGGGATTATTTTCTCTGCTGCATCCTTGGCCTGGAGAAGCTGAGAGAGGGTGAACCCCACCGCCTCCACCACTGATAGATTATGTCTCTGGTTCTGGACACAGAAAAATCTCCAGTTTAGGTGATAATCACAATCAGATTTCGATTTATTTCTTTGACCTTCACTGACATATTACCAAAGACACAGTGAAGTAGAGTCCTGCACTGAGTTGAGTACAACACAATTTTCACATCTAAACATCTAATGTCAAAACTAATCAGCCGCAATGATTTATTTTATTGTGAAAGTTGATAACACCAGTTTTGACCACTTCACTTCTGCTCAATTAAGTGTCACTGCAGACACAAAAGTAGCTGGTACATCCAAATCAATCACGTAAAGAAAAGGTATTCAGCAATGAATACGTTCTTAGTGGCTTTGCTGCTTGTATACATTAGCTTTTGATAAGCACGTCACTGATGAGAAAACACATTGACAGCTGCAGGTACAGATACTTTTCCAAGAACATAACTCAACCACAAAAACAGGAGGACAAGGACTCCTCAATTCCAGCTGAGGGGCTATTACTATGTTGAGGGCCAATGAATGTTGTTCGGTTACCTCCAAGCAGTTGGTCAGAGCTGGTATGATTCCCTGGGCCAGGAGTTTCTCTTTCACAATATCACTGTCCGGGAATAAATTACCCAGCGTGTAGAGACACAGCTCCTGTGTACACGAGAATATAAACACACGGAATGTAAACAGATAAACCTTTATGATAGAGTGATAACACTACACACTGTCTGCTACGCATAGCTACTCACAGTGAACTTGGTGCTCTGGCCAGACAGGTAGGTGAGCAGGTAAGGGGTGGCAGGCAGACAGGCTGGGGCCACATTGGTGTGGGGAGAGTGAGACAGCTCATGAAGACAGCGGACAGCATGGAGACGGCACTGAGCATTAGAGCCAGTGAGGAGACTGACCAGCAGATGCATACTATTCTCCTGCCTTGAAAGTAGACAGATACACAGACATGTTACACGATAGAGATGAAAAAAGCAAACAATAGTATCACTTTAGCTAATTACAGCTGCTTTCAGACGTGCACTGAAGTCCAGAAATCTTTCAAAATGCAAGCAAGTGGGTCGATAACGTTTCCAACATGAAACTGGAAGAATACAAATATCCCAGGATGAAAAAGAGAAGGCACATGAAGAAGACGTAGACGTAGACGTCAACTTGGAAAAACGATGAGTTTCGAGAGCTTTTTGTGATAAGAGCCGACTCCAAAATGTGTGATTTCCGCAGTGAGTTTTATATGTTACGTCTTGTCCCCTGCATGCTTTACCCAGGAGCCGCCTCTTGCCTGAATGTTGTTGGGAATGTATGTGACCCAGACGATCTCCTGCTACGTTCTTCATATGTGAAAGGCAAAATGTCTGGACGCAGATTTCCACGTCTGAAAACAACTTTCCCGAGCCACTGTACTTGATGAAGCTGAGCTGTGCTGATGGGCCACGGAGAGCGTTACTCAGGGCTCTCAGGTGGCTCTCCCTCTCACGCCCGCTGTGTTGAAGTTTGTAGAGCAGGCTGACCACATCCTGGGGAAATGAGCACAAGAGTCAAAACTCAATCAGTCCTTTATTTTAAAAAAATAATGAAAATACAAACAAATAATCTATTGTCTCTGTCACCTGTTCTCCTGACGTGGTGTCCATGGTGACCTCCGGCTGTTCCTCATCCTCATTCAGCAGGAGCCTCTTGCTCACCAGCTGTCTGTCTCTGCGGGCCTGTCTCAGGGCTACAGCAGCAAACATGGACAAACGTCACATCACATTAGGTTTCAGTGAAATTAAAGCAACTTGTACTTCATTGTTGAGATGTTCTACAAACCATCAAGTTCATGGACGAGGCTGCGTTTATTATTTACTACACGAATGTCACAGTTGCTGTAAGATGCATCAGCTTAGTGTTAAAAAAAACATGAACAAATATGAATGTATATTTAATTAAAGTCTTATCTACTGCTGTATATAGATGATGTGTTGTCTTCTTGTATTGAAGACTGTGGGGGACTGTTTAATCTTCATTTGACCTAATACTTTGAAACAAATGCTAGTTTACCATTAGCATGTACATATATCACGTACATTGCTACGGTTAGTTTAAAGAAGACGTTAACTGTTTATTAGCTTGTTTCCCTTTCTTGTAAATAAACGTCGAACTGTAACAGAACCATGAATTGGGCTTTAGCTTCCTTTGTATTGGAACCATCACCACGGACGGTCAAACAAACCTTTCTCGTGCTCCCTCCTATTTAACCGGAGCTCCTCCGAGCTGCCGCCCTGTCGACCCGCTTTGTGACGGACTCTGTTCAGCCTCCACATCCTGACTTCTGCTCGACCCAGCCTGGATGTAAACACTGCTCAGGTCGCCATGTTGTGATCAGCGCTGACGCTTTTCACCGTGATGATGATTGGCTCTTACACTCTTCTTCTGTTTCTGCTCTGCCCCTTTACAGCTGCTGCAGCGCCACCCAGCGGATTCTTACGGGAGACTAACAGTATTGTATATAGAGATGTTTTCTATCTACCTACTTATCAGTCTATCATCCGTCCGTCTATCTATCTATCCAACCACCTACCCACCCATCTATTTCATCTATCTATCATCCACCTATCTACCCATCTATTTCATCTATCTATCCGTCTATCTATCATCAACCTACCTACCCATCTATTTTATCTATCCATCCAACTACCCGTCTACCTATCAATCAATCTATCTATGCATCCACCTACCGACCGATCTATTTTATCTATCTATCCATCCATCTAACTACGCTTCTACCTATCAATCTATCTATGCATCCATCCACCTACATACATATGCATCCACTCATCCATCTATCTATCCATCTACTTATCGTAACACTTCAGACACGGTTACAAAAACTATAGCGTTTACTTTGTATTAAAAGCAAAATTTACAGATTACATATGAAAGCTTTATCAAACAGTTAAAAAATTCTTTAAAAAAACATGCAACTTTCATTTAAAATACACTTTTAACACAATTTCCATTGAATTTTGTAATAATTTCCCTCTAGTTCGGATAAGTTTATCATGGCAGACTGAAGGAGGATGAGATTCTGTTCAATGTGAATCAGTTTCACAAATATCCAATCAATTAAACAGTTACAACCCCTTCTACATATGTAAGCCATTAAAATGGGCATCACAATAAAAAAAACACAGTAAAAAAAAGACAGCTATGGCACAAAATCTTCAAAACAAATAAAAGAAAGTACCCAAATAAAAATTAAATTTTGAAGTGATCATTGAAACCATTAAAACATGAATAGTAACTGGGTGGTAAGGTTGTGTTGACTTTGTCCTTGTGCACTGATGAAGACTGAACGTGTTCATGACTCTGTGTTCTTGGAGGATTTCTTTTTCTGTGGAAAAATTACAGACAAGGAGAAAATGAATGGAACGGAAGAATCATCCTCTCACAGCTCGTTTATTCCCCCCCCCCAAGAGTGACATCAATTTAGCTGCTGGCTGACATGCACTGAACTTCAGAACTTATCCAGGGAGCTGTACGTGAGTCCACGTCAGTTGCTGCAGACATTCTCCAGCCCCCTATTAAAAACTCTGGATAACTCAGCGTGAGCCCATGTGAGAATAAATACTCGACAAGAGAGTGGGTGACAGGACAGGTCAGGACAATCTCCTGCTGCGTTCTTTAGTTTATGTCTACACAATGGGTTTTCTAACAGTATTGTGATACCTTTCTGCGGGGGTCACTGGAGGGTGTTTCTGTTGCGGTCGTGTCTTGGTCAGTACCCACAGGCGTCTCGGGGACCTCGGCTGATTTCAACTTGTTTTTCTCTGAGAGGACGACAAATGATTGAGTAAACAGAAATTTACAAACAGAAAGTCTGCATTTTGTTTCGACTGGTGTGATTTATCTACGTACTTTTCTTCTTCTCTGTTGGAGGACTGGGTGTCTCAAAGACGGGCTGAGGTAGTGGATCTGTGTCAGTAGAGTTATTTTCCAATGATGAGTCCCTTTTCTTCTTCTTCTTCTTCTTCATTGTAGTCGTCTGCTCTGGCGTTTCTCCTCCGTCACAGCTCTCGCTTTTCGTTATTGTTATATCTTCTTCAGCGATCTGCTCCGAAACCTCACTATGATCAGCTTTGTCCTTTTTCTTCTCTTCAACTATCTGTTCTGGATTTTCTGCATCTGGATTTTCCCTTTTCTTCTTTCTCTCTTTCTTTTTGTTAACTATTTGCTCTGAATTGTCTTCACCATTAGCAGCCACATCTTTCTTCTTCTTCGCCTTTTTTTCTTCTGTGATCTGCTCCGTAGTTTCTTTGTTTTCTTCCACTTTCTCCAACTGTTCCTCACTGTCCACTGTCTTCTTCTTCTTCTTCCTCTCTTTCTTCTCTTCAACACTGTGCTCTGTATTTTCTTGTACTTCTTCAGCTGCCAACTCTGGATTTTCCTCCGTTGTCTTTTTCTTCTTCTTCACCTTCTTGTTTTCATCTGTTAGATCTGAATGTTCCTCATAATCAGTTTTCTCCTTTTTCTTTTTCTTATGTTTCTTTACTTGTTCTGCTGGCTCCGAGATGTCCTCTTTAACAGCATCTCCATTTAGATTTTTCTCAATTGATTCCTCTTCATTCTTCTTCCTTTTCTTATCCCCCTCTTTCCCCTTTGTCTTCTTCTCCTCCACAGATTCACCAACACATTCCTCCTTTGTGGCATCATTCCTTTTTTCCTTCTCTTCTTCACTCTCTTTTTCTTGGCCATCTCCTCCATTGTCAATTTCATTCCCTTCCACCTTCTCCTCTGTCATCTCTTTCTTCTTCTTCTTTCTCTTCTTCCTGGGCTCAGACGCTGTCTCATCATTTTCGATGGCTTTCCGTTTCTCTTTAGTTGGTGTCTGTTTTGAAGGAGGGACGGTGGATGGAGTCAGTGTATCCTCTGCAGCGTTGAGGATTTGCTCTTGGCTCGGGGCGGCAGAGGAGGCGACAGGTGCAGTCTTTTTCTTTGGACTGCTCTTCTTGTTATTTGTTGGCGTATCTATTTCTTTCTTTTCAACTGCCGCGTCATTCTGTGTGAGAGTGGGAGTGTTGCTCTTTGTGGGAGGCTTCGCCGGGGGTTTCCTGACTCTCTTTTTCTTGGGTTGGGGTTCAGAGGAATCCAGAGCATTGATGGTGTCCATCTTGGCAATGTCAGCCTCTGTGGACAGGGTAAACACTGTGAATACATTGAACAAACACGGCGTTGTGGCACCATCGTTTAAATGAAAACATGTATTTTCTTAATTAGTTAATGTGTGGTTCTGTTCCGACTGCTTGTCTTTCTCCTTTTAAGTGTGACGTCTTTTCATCTGCCACCATTCCCTGGATTTTCCAAACCACCGCTTCTCCATAAACCAGTATGTCTCTTTTAACAAAAAAACATTAGCTGTAAATAACTGCATTGAAGTAGTACTTGAATAGAACGGTGTTCATCTGAATCATTCCCCACCGTCAAAGATCTTAATGAACATTTGGCGTGCTGATTAGAAACATGTCAAACCAGTGGAACTAAAATGTCTGGTTTCTCCGATCAACATTAGAGTAGATGTCGGCTGAGGTTAGTCTCTTCAACACCCACCCCAGCCACCAGTTATTAACATATGCAACCTAAAACCTTTGCATATTCTCCCTCACTCACTCACTCACACACAGACCTACCTGTCAACTGCTGCACCAGTTTCTTCCATTTATCTACATCCAGGCTGCTGTCAGAGTCTGAATCGTCTCCACCAGCAGACACGACTTTGTCCTTGGGTTGTGTCTTTGATTTCTTTGCCTTGGCATCATTTGCAACAGATTTTCCATCACTTTTTTTTCTTTTACCTGGCACGGCCTTAGAGACAAAGAAGAACACTGTCTGCTTATTGTACATAAAGAACTCATACGATTTAAAAACAGAAAACTCACCTTCTTTTTGCTTGTCTCTGTTTTCATCCCCAGTTTCTCTCTCTTTTTCTTTGCTACAAATACATGTAAAATGTGCATAATGGGTTACAAATGTATTCAAATGCCCAAACCTGATTCTTTCAGATGTACCAACAGGTTGGATGAAAAAAAAAAAACAACCTCTGAAAGTTTTAAAAGCCTCCTCAAGTGAAAAAACACAAACCAAACACGACTGTGCGTATTTACCCTGGTTTCATCCCAGACATTTTCAATCATTAAAAAAATGAAATGATTATTTATTGTGACTACTCAAAACGTTTCTACCTCAGAATCCAATGTGTGAAATGTGTGAGTCAGACCTTTGGCAGGAGTCCCTCCTTGTTCTTGAGACCTGGAGCGCTTGGCTGAGTCAGACCTCTTTTTCTTTTTTGAGTCACTGTCAGGAAAACAAAACTTAGTGTAAATCTCCTCGCAGCTCCAGACTTCCTGAAGGAGGAGAGAAATCACACTCACTTGTACCACGAACTGTAGATGTCCAGTAACGACGCAGATATGTCTGTCTTCCCTTGCAGACAATTCATAGACATCTGAAAGTAAAACACACACTGATCAGACGGTTTATTGGGAACAGTAGATCTGACAACATGGGACACAAGTCATTGGTGTTTATCTCAGGAGACAGTTATTAAAAGAGGGCCAGACTAACCTGTCAGTGTGTGTGAGAGTGTGTGTGTCAGAATGAGAGTGTGCTTGTATTTGTGTGTGCTTGTGTGTGTGTGACAGAGTGATTGTGCGTGTGTGATTATGTGTGTGTGTGTGTGTGACCTGTGGGTTGTGCCTCTCCAGCTCCTCTGCAGCTGAGTGGAAACCATGATCCTTCAGGTGTCGGTGGATCAGCCGGTTCAACTCGTGCTGTGATGCGTTCACGGACATATCCGACACACGTGGACGATGACAAATACACGCGCAAATGTAACGACTGGGATGATTTTCATATTAACACTGGGAACATGCTTCCAATCGATACATCTCCGTAACTAAAACCCGCATGTTTCCGTGTTGCACTCTGAACCGAGGAAGTACTTCCGTTGGCCGCTGCAATGCACTATGGGAACTGTAGTATTCCGGTGACGCAACAAGGCGACAAACACCCCCATCAGGCCTGGCGCCAGGATGAGGCGCGAGTGTGTTTTTCCTTCATCAAATTGTCATTTACCTCTGAAGTTATAGCAGCCTGCAAAACCACTGGTAAAGTGAAAAGAATATTAATATGTTTGAAAAATGTTTGATTTCTCTTGGTTTAAACATTGGACACATTATTGATTATGTTCGTACACAAGTCGACAAAATATATAATAAAATAGGTCTAGTCATTTAAAAAAAAATGAATGAAGAATTGGTCCAGATTATATGTTCAATGTATTCTTTAAAAATAAATCACTATCCTGTCAACACAGGACATGTCACTAAGTTTGAAGTGTTGGAAGACTTTCTTAGTCCTCCACAGTTTCAGATCAGTATATTAGCTGTTTCAACTGTATCACATTGGCCATAGGATTATATTGATCCATTCATACCAACCAACAAAGAGCCTTTTCTCTGCTCATCTGCCTGTTACTTTCTGATGATATTTTCTGTTTCTGATCAACTGTTGCCTGTGTAAGTTCAGTTTCACATCCTGCACCAGGAAGGAAATATTTGTGCAAAGGCAGGTTACTCCCTTCAGTTAGGCAAGGCTTTTATGATTTGGATCAGTCCTGTCAGTAAGATCAACTGGACAGGACCGGGCTATTACCTCTACTGCAAATTAGTGATCTGATCTGTCTACCTCAAGGTTGCTTCTTCAGGACTTTCTGGTTTCAAGGTTTTTATGGTTTCTGTCAGTTCTACATCAGTAAGAGTGAATGACACCCTCTGGCTTTAGAGACAATTCAGGCAATAAAGTAAAATAAAACAGCAACTCATTCAATTATTATGAGAATGTGCATAAAGAGGTGGAGCCATGACTTTTTTTAACTTTCTCTAACAGGGTGATTTCCCGGTAGAGGTTTGTACTCTATTGAGTGCCATTCTAGTTTAATTTAGGTTGGTGACAAAGGTGACAAATGAATAGCGAGAGCCAAAACAGACCACTGACTCATACTGAACACCACTATTATCCGGTAAGTATTGAAATAAACCACCTTTTCTTGTCCCTTGTGGCTACTGTTTTAACATTCTTTCTTGTGGCTATTGGTTTCTGGACTGAGCTCTAGCCTTTACATCTCATCATGTTGGCAAAACATCCACCAACCACAGAGCCGGACGATCCACAAAGTATCCAATCAAAGGGACAACTTCTCAGAAGCTGCCAGGAAGGTCAGCCTCCTGTCGATCTCAGTTATTTGCACACCCCCTTCTTTTCGTCTGGTTGGTCTGGGAGGAAGGTGAAGGTGTCTGGGCTCAACAGGCTGCCAGGGAGTAGATGTGAGGGAGTTGCTGGTGAGACCTTAGGTCACACTAGAGGAGACTTTGGGTAAGAGCAGAGTCAGCAGGAGCAGAACGGCTGAAAGAGACCCATTCATCAGGCAAGACCAGGAAAGCAGTGTGTATTCCAAAATTCGACGTCAGTGCTCGGTGGGTCTTACCAAACTCGATTTTACATGAATACACACACACACACACACACACACACACACACACACAC